CGGTAGAAAATGAATCCAGTCTCGCCGGACGACAGGTGGCTGACTCTTGTTTCCTGGTCGTATCGTTACTTTCCGTTTGAGGAGCACCTTGAGAGGCCAGGCACCTTGATATTGAAGCAATGCAGGATAGAGTTCGCACCCCTACAGAGCAGTGTTAGAGGTTGTCTATCAACTATTCCTCGGAATTGGGACTTACTCTCTCGATAAACTGCTTCCACTTTTTGCGATCGAGGTGACAAATGTTTTTATTCTCATTCCATAATTTTTCAAATATGTCCTGTAGTCACGATCATGAGGTCTTCACGGAAAAGAGTGCGCGAGACGGGAGGTGCTTACAAGTATTTTCTGAAAGCTTTCAACATCGTCCAACTTCATCAAACGTTGGAGTGCATGGTGTGTCGTTGTTGGTTCTGTGGCTAGTATCTCTTCATCTGAAGATGGTATTGGAAGAGGTATCTAATTGGAAGTCAACCTGAATGAGGAAACAGCATATCGTCGACACAATGCTCAACTCACCTTATGCAATTTGAGTCTTTTCCAGATCAGAGCCTTGTCGATGGGTGCCAGCCCATTTTTCACCAGAGCCTCCAAAAATGCCACTTGTCTCTTCTCAGACCACCTCTTCAGACAGTCAATATGGTAGTCATGTAAAAGTCCACCAAGTCGAAAGATATGCCGAGCATGGTCGAGCCCTTCCGTCAATTGATCAAGTCCAATTGTACATATCGCCGGGATTGTCGGGATAAATGCACAAGTAGGACAGGCTAGGACAAAGCTATGCAAGTTGCCCTATAGATAGCGAACTGAATACGAGTACGATTGAGAAGGGTGTCAAGCCTACGTTGGAGCCGTTAATGGGTGGCGTTTGAGGTGGTGTGGGTGGAAGGCGATACAGGCGTTTTTCAGGCAGTGCTTGAGTCTTACGAGGTCGCGCCAACGTGCTTTTGGTGGGATTGACTGAACGTGGTCGATGGGGTTTGGGGGGAACACACTCCTTTTCTTGAATGGGTGAACTTTCCTGCTTTCATGGCGGGTTACAAAGGAGAATCGTCTTGGAATAAGCAAAAATCACCTTGAGTGGATCGATTCTGCTATACTGAAAACCGAATTAGTATCTGCCTCATTGCAAAGGAGATATAGGTGGGCGCACCTTCCTGTACAGCCTATAGTACGCTCGTAGAGGCCATGCATCGACGAAACGACCAATGGAGTTACACCTGGCATGAACCAGCTCGACAAACTTATTCCATTCTGTATCGCTATAGTCTTCGGGTGGGCGCAGAATGTCACCAAAGTGCTGCTTTGCAATGAGACGGGTGGTGCTCTGTGACGGACTATTGTCAATTTGGGGGGATGGGATCCAAAGGGGGGTATGCAATGCTTACTTTGAATGTCTCCATTTCGAACTCCGTGAGGTACTTGTTGAGGGATTCCTCGAGAGCCTGCACAGATTTCCATGTTCCTTCGGCGGGTTTGGGGACTTTCATGGCCATAACTAGTCAAGTTACACAATAGGATTGAGTTTAAGCATTTGTTCAGGTGAGGTGGCTATGGCTGTTGGGCTGTTGTAGATGTAGATAATCAGTCGACCAGCGGAGATTAGATAAACATGCCGATTGGATCAAGATTCTCAGTGCACACATGGCTCGCAATGTTTTATTCCAAATTTAAGCAGCTGGATTCTTGTACCATAAAAGATAACATCAAGGAGATTAATGACACAAGGTTCAGGTAAGCGAAGAAGCAGACTCGTACACAAAAAAAAACACACACACAAGTGGCGGGCACTAGAATGATATCGCAAGCATTCAACAAAACCGGTCACTGAGAATGCGTAAGGTAGGCCGACGCAGATGGAATTACAAGTATGGCTCACCTCTTCAGCTTCGCGCGCCGTTCTAAGAGAGCTTCTGCCAGTCGACCTTCCTTCTTTGCACGTTTAAGCTGTGGTTACAGGTCAGGAGTGCTTCATACATAGATATATGGAAACAATACCTCCTTCTTGTCGGCACTCGATACCACGCTCCTGCCGGCACCCCACGTCTGGTATATGCGACTGAGGAACGTTGAGGATGAGTCGACCAAGTTGACTTGAAATGAGAGGACATACTTTGAACTAGCTTCGTCTACGGAGGGACCGTCAATACCATCTTTCTTCTTCTTCCCTTCTTCGTTGGCTTCCTTCTTGTATTTGGACTGGATCTTGACCCAAAACCTCTCCCGAAAACCGACTTCCTCACTATCCCCCCTCAACTGTAATGTTCCCCCAGCAACCTCATCCACGGAGAGGTACTTTTCATAGACATTCATGAATGCAACCATACCATCCGAAAGGATGAGAGGCGTCCATTCTTCTTGGGGACCTCTCGCGTCTCGATCGGCAGAGACGAGGCCGTGCTTGTCACAAGACAAGAACTTGCCCTCCCCTGTCCCAGTTCGCAGATTAATAGTTGTTGACCCAGCCACCCGTGTTGTTACCCAAACCTGAGATACGTCTGTGGGTGTCCGCTCAAGCAAAGTCGGTGGTGCAGACTCGTCATCCTCTCCCTTCGCCTTGTCCAACGGTTGCAGAACGACACGACTTGCAGTAGCGTTGAAATTAAGGGATATTGGCGAGGCGTCAGAGGGGTGTATGATGAATGTAGGTCCTCGGATTTCGATTGGGTCGTCGGGTTGAACCCAAGTTTCAGGCGCTTCGTCGTCATCCCGCTGCTTCCTGCCCGCTGGTCTCCCTTCGTCATCTACTCCTCTCTTTCGCTTCGACTTTGACTTTTCTCCTTTGAACTTGAGTTTTGTCGACCGAACTTTGTCCATGAGTGAGCTGCTGGATCAGAGTGGAGGAAAAGGCGCCGTACCTGATAACTTAGAGGTATACTCCACGTGACGATTGGGGTCTCCGAATTTGTCCAAAGCGTGGGAAGGATCAAGCAAAACCCATCCCCACAAAACTTACCAGCTCGTCGTCGTCGCCGTCCTCAAGAAGCCTCCTCGTCAAAATGAAGTACAACGCCGGTAGGTAACGTTTCCCTGCACCACCGCTCTTTGATTGTTTCTTCTATATGGGCGATATTCACGACTCATGGGTGGATGGTATCCACGAAGAGCAGATGACCTTGAGCCAACATTGAGCTAACATCGTTGTCTCTAGATGTCTCGTCATCGCGACGCAAGTCTCGCAAGGCCCATTTCTCGGCCCCATCTTCCATCCGCCGCAAGATCATGTCCTCCGCCCTCTCGAAAGAGCTCCGAGGAAAATATAACGTTGGTGCACAAAGCCATCTGCTGCTCTCAACCCTGTAACTTCGTCCAATAGGCCCGGGCACTACCTGTACGAAAGGACGACGAAGTGCGTATCGTAAGGGGGAAGTACAAGGGCCGTGAAGGGAAGATCACCCAGGTCTACCGCAAGAAGTGGGTCATCTATGTCGACCGTGTGCAGCGGGATAAGTCGAATGGTTCCACTGCTCCCATCGGCATTCACCCAAGCAATGTTGTTATCACCACAATCAAGCTTGATAAGGACCGGTTCGTATTTATGTATTCTTTTGTTGCCCCCTTTTTTTCCCTCTGACGATACGCCAGCCGTGCCATTCTCGACAGAAAAGACCGAAAGAAGAGCACATCTGGGGATGTAGAAATTGCCGAGGCAAGTCCCATTTTGCGCGCATATATCATACAAACTGATGAATGTATGATACACAGTGAATCTTCCACTCCTCTCTTTACCCCCATGTATCTATGCACCCACACCTCTGCATCATGACCCCGCAATCGAAAAGCATATAGCATATAAGGCTAAAATATGACATCGTCGTCTTTAGTGCTGAGCAGATCGCCCGTTCCTTTATCCAAAGCCGCCAATAATTGATCTTCGTCAACAGCCTGCTCGCGTTCTGCTTGTTCGGCGTCACGAGCTGCAGTGTCCCGTTTCTTCTTCCCTTGAACTTTCTTCAATCTATAACTCCCTCAGTCTAAGAACGTTAACTCTGTTGTGACCTCGTACCTAAAGAATTCCTCTCGGTCCATTTCGTCAAGTTCGCTCATAATATACCTGATGGTATTGTCCAGCCGTGGAATGACAATATGCTCGATCGCGTTGACCCTCCGGTTCGTCGCCCTGATCACCTCGTCCAAGATTGTGAACGCAGTTTGCAGAGATGCCAACTCGACGAGAGTTTCGATCGCTTTAGCATACACCTCTTTGGCTCTCAGCACTTGCTGACCCCCACGCCCCAATCCAGTCAGGTTAAAGTCTGCAAAGTATGAGCTTCTACGAAGTCGGGGATGTTATTTCGCGTCACCTGAACCCGCTGTCCGTTCAACCTCGAAAGCTGGGAGGACAACTCCAGATACGTTCTCTTGCTTGGCTTTGACACGGAAGGTAGCCTGTTTAGCTTGTTCTTGTACGAGATAAGATATATCCCCCGTAGCATAGGTCACTTCTGCCATCGAAAAGGATGCGAGTTGCATGACTTTCCCCATCTTCCTTTTGGCCTAGACCGTATACCATGGATATTGCACGGGTAGCCAACATGCATGATCACACACCTCGTCGACTTTCTTCAAGATAGCCCGGAATCGGGTGGTTAAGGCATCTCTCTTCTTCGCGAGAAGGGAATGACCGGTCTGTGCGCCTTTCAAGCGCAACTTGGTGTTTGTGAGCGCCATCCTGGTAGCAAAGACATTTTCACGAGCTCCTGTTCCGGACATTGATCAAGGGAGGAGGGAAGAGGAGTTGGCTGCCACAGCGGCGCGCGCAGGTGTTGCAAAAGAGGATAGCCCACCACTCCCAATCTGATGGGAAACTACAGCAACACGATCTCCTTCACTAAGACTTCACACGACAGGCTCAGTAACCTATTTGCTCCGACTTTTCGGCAGTAAGGCTTCTCGTGAGTCGTGTTGCAATAGGGAAGGACTACGAAGCTGTATAGCTATTCCCGTATGTAGGAGATGGAAGTGGTGGGGTTGGGATCCTCTCTCACAGCAATGTTTCCACCGGGGGCATAGCTCAGTTGGGAGAGCAACAGACTGAAGTTACTCCATCTGGAGAGTCTTCTGGAGGTCCCGCGTTCAATCCGCGGTGCCCCCATTTTTTCCCTACATTTTCCCTACATTTTCGATGATCAATCGTTTTGCAACTTTAGGGTAGCATTTTAATCCCCCTCGTGGACGCCTCATAAACCACATTGCATTTTATGTCCAGAAGTAGTTAGGCAATGGTATATTTCCCATAGTTCTTCTCTGGATCAAAGACCTGCACGAGGGTTCAGGACTCGTGACAGTGAAAAGCTGAAAGACGTACCTCCCACCGGGACGCAGGAAATATATGCTTATTGCGTTGATACCAACTCCGTTCCACGACTTTCCCTGCATGGGATTCGTCTTTCTCTTTTGTTGCATCCGCAAGGAGACGAACATCGTCATGCACGTCGAAGTTGAAGAGAGGACCAGACTTCCCTCGGGCTTTGTTGACAATGAAATCATAAAATGTATAATGCTAGATGACCGTAAGGGCAAGGCGGAGGTCTAGCTGAGAACAACGTACGTGGGGTATAATAAGGTCCTCCTTCAAACTGTAAATCAGCCGTTGATACAGTCCCAACGATACTGAGACTTACCTTGACATACATCATGTTGTCAACACTAACACTACGCAATTCTGGAAATTGCTGTCGACATTTCTCGAGGAAAGTGGCAACGTCGTTTTCTTTCTTGCACTATGCGGCCTGTAAACAGCAAAGCCAGGGAACTGGATAGGGACTTACAACAACACTCTTTCGATGGCCACTCCCGTCCCAGTACGAGTAGGTGATTTCAATATCCTCTTTCTTTATCTCCTCTTGTCTTCTCAACCATTCTTGACGAAGTCTCTCGCGTTCTCTGCGCTCCGCTTCTTCACGTTCGCGGTCAGGCAAGAAGGAGGTATCCACATTGGGGTTCTTGATAAGTTTTCCCTTCTTAGAAGGAGGCTCTTCATCTACATCGTCATTCGCTTTCGAGGGTTGGGACTCGGCTATGTCTCCTTCAGGCGCGTCATCCTCTACGTCGAAGGAAAGCGTGGCCTTTGGTGCTTTCTTCCGTTTCTTGGATTTCTTCTTGTCATCTCTAAACAAATGCTCCACGGCCTATTAGCCACCTAAACGCGAGAATGGGACCTAGACGCAATTGAAAGTCTACATACTTGAGCTCACTGGTCCGGGCAGCCTCCCGAGCCTTTGCCTCTTCAAGCTCCTTTCTCTTCTGCTGAAAGTCTTCTAGGTGAACGAGACCAATCGTGCTATTCTTCAAGGTATCTTCCATTGAGTCATGCTGGCCGACGAAACGGTTAGCGGAGGGTCTGGCTTTCTCCGTTTCGCTGATGAGAGTCTGTTTCTGCCGCTCGAACTCTTCGCGCATCTGTGTTCTCTGCTTGACGAGAAGGTCTTCACGTCGACCTTCCATCTGGTTGAACGCCATTTCGTCTATACGCTGTTGTGAGGGTGCTTGTCGAGGGAGGGTCTTCGGCAGAGGAAAGGCTTACATCAGCAAAAAGTTGGGCAAAATCTCCGTGTTCGCCAACAAACACGGACATCACTCGCACTCGGGATGGTGCATATCCTCGGGGTGAACCTTCGCGATACACACGTTACGCGGGTGAGCAGGCTGTTTTCTATGTTCAATTGGTTCATTTATTGACACATCTCTAGTTCGCACTCACTCAGTTCTATGGTATAGGCAACTACACCGCCCATCGTTTGTGTGCCAGGCTGCAGATTCACGACAAATGCAAGGTCAAAGACCTTACACCGTTCCAGGTCACCGCACTGGCCTCTTTCCTATCTTCTCCTTCAACCGCGCCACTAGCTCCGCGTCAACCCTTAGCAGATCCAAATTATCTACCACCGCCCGCTAATACCAGCCTGCAAGAAATTCAAGCCCAATTTAACAGCGCTAGAGCCCAACGTGCAGAAAAGCAAGCAAAAAAGGCAAAAGCCCTTGGACTCCCAGCCAAGAAACCTGCCGTGGACCCATTGAATAGCATCAAGATCGAGTCGGAATTAAGACGCGAGATTCGGGAGAACATTGCTCACCAACGCATGATTGGAAGTTATGTTGGAAAGCGGCACGCGATGCACCTTCCTGTCCGTGGGCAAAATACGCAATCGAACGCGAGGACAGCCAGAAAGCTCAACCGCCTGGATCGGTATTAGTTGCACTCGTGAGTTTTCACGTATATGACCCAGTTCTCCGGTTGACGGACTTTACGGTTAGGGTTTTTTTTGCTGCGGGGTCCATGTGTGGGGGCATAGTTTCTGAGGACCTGTATTTATTTGTAGAGACCATACGTGAATTTGTGTCCTATGGCCATCCAGGATAGCAGTGCTGCAGCTTGGTGTGACGCGCGGGAATAGCCCGTATCTCTTACAGTGTGACCACCATCTACAGTATGGCGACCATGAAGCAATACAAAACTATCGGCGAGGACCTATGGAAAGGGCGAACAGAGAAAATTGTAAGATGACCCAGATTCATTGATCTAGTCTCTCACCTTGATAGAATGCAGAACTATTTGCTCTTACATATGGAGCGCTGGTTGTGCAGCTCATTCAGGACTATGAAGATTATGCAGAAGTAAACAAACAGCTAGAGAAAATGGGCTACAATATCGGTACCAGGTTAATCGAGGACTTCCTTGCCAAGAGCGGTATCGGCAGGTGCGCAGATTTCAGGGAGGTGGGCGAAGTGGTCTCCAAGGTATGTCCTACTCCCTAGCTGTCCGGTAAGTCTCGTCTACATCCTTTGCCCAAGGTGGGGTTCAAGTCATTTCTGAATATAACACCAAACGTTGTGCATCATGCTGCACAACCACCATCCCCTGGCCGACCCCCGAGTGGCGCACAGAATAGTGCTAGCCCGGCTTTCTCCCTGCTGTTTGATGAAAATCCGCTGGCGGAGTTTGTCGAATTGCCCGAAGAAGCTTTAGAATGTGGCCTTTGGTTTAGCAATGTCCTGTGCGGTGTCATACGAGGTGCATTGGAAATGGTGCGTGGTTTTCATACTCACTCCCGTGAAGCAATGAGATTTGACACATCAATACCAGGTTCAAATGCAAGTTCAAACGGAATTCATCTCGGACGTTTTGAGAGGAGATGAAGCGACAGAGATTAGGGTGAAACTTGTAAAATACCTCGAAGAAGAGGTCCCAGTCGGAGACGACTGAAAAACCTTCACAGCTTGCCCTGTTGTATTCAAATGCACCTATCGATAACGAAACCATTGCATCGTGGTCTCCGCCTGGCGATTCAGCACCCTTGCCCTTGCCAACTCGAAGGCGATTGCGGATCTGCAGCAGGATTGGTCACTGCAGTATCACGGTACCGATCCATCGCCCATCGATACAGCTCAGCGCTTCAGCCTCGTTTCTTCCTATTCTTAAGTTCCAACTGCGCTTCGTATCTTGTCGGTATCATGATTGACAAGTGCGAGAGTGAATTCTAAACAGCACTGGGGCGTTGTTCGACGGACTTCAACGCAAAGCGCTGTTTTGACCCTAACCCTAAGTTAGATCTTATCCCTTCTCCATGTCGCGACCAGAACTTCAAGCACCTCCGGAAATTGTATGCAGTCTGCTCTTGTACCTATCGAACCAATGAGGATGCTCATGGGGCTAAACAGTATTATGGAGATACCGAAGCCAAGAAGTACACCAATAAGTCCGTGTTGCACCAGTCCCTGTTTCTTGGGACACGCCTGACGGTGATGCAGCTCTCGTATTCAGCAGGTCCAGGCGGACATGACCTATAGAGCCTTGGAGTTACTAAATCTTCCACCTGATGAACCCGCATTCCTGCTGGATATCGGATGTGGATCAGGTCTCTCTGGGGAAATACTCGATCAGGAGGGTTATATCTGGGTTGGTGTAGACGTTGCTCCCAGCATGCTTGGTATGTCCTGCCGCTTGTCCGGGCATTCTCAAATTTCACATCGGGCTTCCTTCATCTAGAGGTCGCATTGGAACGCGAAGTCGAGGGCGATCTGTTCCTGCAAGACATTGGTCAAGGTTTCGGGTTTCGACCCGGAAGCTTTGACGGCGCGATAAGGTAGGCTGAATTATGTGTACAGACTTTGCCTTCGACTGACAGTCGAGATAGCGTCTCTGTTTTGCAATGGCTACTCAACGCCGAAACGTCGCATCCAACTTCTTCTCCACCCCATCGGCTCACAAGATTCTTCACCACCCTTCATTCTGCGCTGAAGAATCCCTCGCGAGCCGTTTTCCAATTCTACCCTTCGTCTGATGACCAGATACAACTGATCACTTCCATTGCGCAAAAAGCCGGGTTTGGGGGAGGTATAGTTGTCGATTACCCCAATTCGAACAAGGCTAAAAAGATCTTCCTGTGCCTGTTTGTTGGGAGTGGGGGTTCAACGCAGCAGATACCAAAGGGACTGGAAGGAGACGAAGAACTGGACGCGAAAGTCAGGTTCGAACAACGAAGGCACCGTGAACAAAGACGCATGAAAGGCAAGCGGAAGCCTGGTCGTGATCGAGATTGGATATTGAAGAAAAAAGAAGTAAGTTCACCGCCCTGAGCCTCATGTCGAGCTGATTTGAATCAGCTGTACCGAAAACGAGGAAAAGAGGATGTTCCTCGGGATTCTAAATTCACTGGACGAAAGAGAAAGCCCGTGTTCTAGCTGGAAGGATATCCACAATCATTGTCCGATTATCGGTCTTGCGACAAAAAGGTTGCGACAGGCGTCAACGGCCTCTCTCGCACCATTCCGTATGAATAAACCCTGTAATGTGGCCATACTAATGCGTCTCCCCAATGCCATCTCTTTCACAACAATCTCCTCCAGAGCTGTCGCCAGTTTTTCCAATTCTGGACGTCCCAAACCATCCTCTTCATAGAACCGTGTGAACAGGGTACGAGCCTGAGCAGGGCTTGCATCGTCGATCAGCTCCATCATATCCACGCGGCCAGGACGTATAAGCGCTGGATCGAGCTTCTCCAGGTGGTTTGTAGTCATGAAAATGATGCGTTCTTCACCAGACGCGACACCATCGAGGGCATTCAAGAAGCCCGAGAAGGTTACTGAGGATTG